GATTAAATAGGCATATCTGAATGTCTACATGTAACTATATATAAGTGTGCAGTAATGCTTCAGCCAACAGTTATGCATAAGTTTCAGAAAAGGTAGACCAAGTGTCCATATATTTATCTATCTGTAGTTGGTGACTAAATATTGCTCATGGGCCAGTCTAGTTGGGACATAGAACAAACATTGTGGAAGACACCAGGTTGAAGAAAGCTGGCTTAAATATTAACACATTTATTCTGATATAGACTTTGGTGGGCATTGCCCACTTCATCAAAAGCATCTTTGCCAGCTTTGTGGCAACAGACCTATCATGCTGCCATTCTGGAAACTGAGTTCAATTAACCAAAAAGTTAATATGAAAAAGAGTGTTTAGCCCGCCATCTAGTGACAGACATCATAATTGCAGGCGTTCTGACATTGCAATCATTTTCCTTTGCAGAGTAGCTCAAATAAATTGCATTGATGATCTCCCCAAAAGCAAGGGAGGGAGATGAGAGATTAGAGAGCAGAGAGACAAGTGCGTATCAGCATTTCCTATGATGTCAAGGCAGAAGAAACATATTGTAATGCAGGCTGCATTACAATGTGTATGCTTCAGGGTAGGCTGTTGACATTAAATACAAGCAGAATGCATAGAAAGAAAGACTAGCTAATTTTTATTGAACGGAATGGAGGAAAAAGCTAGTAGCAACAACAAATACCTGATGGGTGGTGATAAGCAAGAAAAGAGAGATTGCCAACTGGATTTTGCTAATTGCTAATCTGGATTTGAATGTGCATTTCCACAAGCAAATGACTCCAGAAATTTAGGAAATTCAGAAAAGTGAGCCTGCATTGCCGTTGCGTTTGTCAGTCTCACTAAACGTGCATCATGAAGTGCGCGTGCGCGTTCTTTATTTTCAGGGCTGCAGCATCGTGAATTCTTGCAATAATTTTTATGTTGTTCTCAACCCCAGTAACGACATTTTGTGACAGAAGCCTTTGCATGCAAAAGTCGCAGACGTGTGTGCACTGAGTGAATAATCGAGCAATTAGCGTCCTGGGTTTCAATTCAAACAACACCGGATCAGTTCTATCGCAGCAAACTGTGCTTGGGACGTACCACTTCAAGCTGCAGGTGGCCACTTTTATGGGTGAGCCTTCTTATATTAAAAGAAAACAACACTCTCCACGTAGGAAACTAGCATATGAGGACAATGTGTTCCTTCTCATATTTTTCCTGACATGTTAACTTTCTACCTGCCTGGTGTTGATTTGACGTAAATAAATACGGAGAAGCACTTATACCAAATCCCACCTATGGTCTCAAGTGGTACTATCCAGACACTGTTGTTGATCGGAGGGGTGTAGGGAGTGCCAGAGAAAATGCGGATAGGAAAAAAGATTCTGTAACTGGGTTTTCAACATTCCTGCAAACAGATCATAGGGAGAATTGCACGGGCCCCACCCTCCATGTACATAAATCACTGCACTTGGAGGATGAATTGCAGCCTGTGCCTTCAGTTGCTTGATAGTCAACGGGAGATCCACTCAACAGCTAATTTAATTTTTATCTACCCGCTTAAGCTGGCAGGAGAGAAAGATCCTTGGTCAGTTTTTCCCCAAACTAGCACACATCATGCTTTCAACGAGGTAGCCGAGAGACTTTATTTATTTATTTATTTATGGCTGTGGTTTGAATGTTAATGATCAAATGCAAATAATGGGCATCTAAGCAAGACCTAAATGGCTCAATAGTTAGGTTCTGTTGATCCAAAGAGCCCCTTCATTCCCTGCTTTCTCTATCTCACTTTGCTGCTGCAGATGGACTCCCATTGCAGCCCACAAACTTGCACACACATTTAACAATACCCATAATAGCTTCTGCCAGGCGAGTCCATTGCTTGTAAGACAGCTCTCCATTAATGCCTTGTTTCTTGCAAGGAATCCAAGGCTGCTTGTGCAAGCCCCCTTCTCTCTATTTTATCCTCACAACGCTTCTGTGAGGTAGGCCAGGCTGGGAGTCAGCAATCAGCTCCAAGTCACCCAGTGAGCACCCAGCCTGAGTACAGACTAGAAGCCAGGTCTCCTGCTTCCCAGTTTAACACTCAATCTACTACTCCTGACCATCTTTTCCTCCATTGCTCCCCCTTTCATGGACTTTCCAGGCAACTTTTCTACTACTGCTGTTTTGTTCTTTTCCCCAGGTGTCTTTGGGGTAAGCAGCTTGCCAGCAGCCTCTCTCTGCTCACAGGTCATGCCCCAGCCTCCATTCTTTCACCTGTCTTTTTGCACCTCCACCTCCCATTCATCCCCTGCCATTCCCTTCTTGTTCTCCCTCTCCCTCAAAACTTGTTCATTACACTGAACTCTTGTTTTAATATGCTGTGGTTTCCTTTAGGGAGTCCATCCATCTCTTGTTTTATCTTCCTTTTGTTCTGCCTTTGACTTTCCCTGGCATGATTGTCTTCTTGCACTTTCATGCTGTTTCCAAAGTACTGACAGCCTCTGCTTTGTTACTTTTGCTTCTAGGGGAAGCTCTGACTTAAATTGATTTAGGACCCACTTGCTTGTCTTTCTGTTGGTCCAGAGTATTTCCAGAGCTCTCCTCCAGTACCAGGTTTCAAATGCATTAATTTTCTTCCTGTGAGCTTTCTTCACTCCCTGGCCTTCACACCCGTACAGACTGATTGCAATTGCAATCATGTGAATGATCCAGTGAAACAGCTTTACATTTGATGATCTTTTCTAGATTCTTTGTTTTTATATGCATCTGCCTTAATAATTAGAACCCATCATCTGCATGAATGAAATGTATCCCTAAAAATTTCCTATTGCCTTAGCTTGAACTTCGAAAAATCCACTCTAATCCTTTGAGCAAAACACTCTCTGGGTGAGCAACTGTTGAATCTCCTTAATTCCTTAAGGTGCTCTTCTTTGGGGTGCTTGGTACTCAATCTGGAAAGATACTTTCAGGTGTCCAAATGGTGTAGTTGGCATACCTCTTGTCTTGGCAGAAAGGACACTTAGCAACGCACAACAGCCACATGCCTTTTCCAAAGAACACACACACAGACAGAGGATATCTGACTCTACTTCTCTCCTCCCCAGTATCTAGGGAGCGATTCAGCAGTTCTCTGCCTCAGCACAGGTGGAGAAGTTGACTTCAATGAAATGATATCCAGTCAACAGCAACAGGCAGCTTCCTGGGGGATGATGAGTCATTCCGAGGAAGGCAAGGAGGGCAGGTTACCATTCTAGGCACTTGGCTTCCTTCCTTCTATAGTTCCTTTACCCATTACCTGGTGCCTCCGGTAGTGCTCCTTGCTCAGAAGGCCCACAAGCAGAAGATGCTGAGGTGTCACGGGGTACAGAAGCTTACTTTCCTCTTTCTTCTGATTGGTAAGAAAGCTCCAGCACCGTAAGTAGAAGGGCTAACTGACTTCTAGTGTTACCTTTTAGCTTGCTTACTCACTCTAAAGTATCTGCAAGGACCCCATCAGGATCTGGACCCTTTAACTCCTTCCCCCACCTCCACTCTGATCCTGATCCAGATTGGATGCTTGACTTTTTTTGTAATTTTCATTGCCCCAAAGCGATCCATTCAAGCAAATAGGCTGAAATCCATGACAGCTGCAGAAAGTCCGTGGAACCTGGTGGTTTCATAGCCTGTAGGGCAATGCTGGCTTCAAGGAGCTATCCGGAGTGCTGAAGCCTGACCACAAAATAGGTTTGACACCAGGGTTCACTTTGGTACAGTTCAGATTGAAACCTGGAGTGGATACAGCAACTCACTGAACTTTGAGCCACTAGCCGCTGCTCAGTCCAGGTCAAGCTCAGTCCAGGTCAAGGCAATAGTGCAAGCAAAGAGTTAACGTCTACTTACCCCTATTGTGAGGATCCCTTGCTTTAGAGGTAAGAAGAATGATTGGTTTGCTAGCTTCATGTGCAAAGGAAGATGTAAGCTGGGTCTCTTCTGAAGATGTATGTGGAGGTGGGTGTTCCAGGGTCATGCTTCTGTCTCTGCTTTCACCTATGAGCTTCCTCAAATTTAAATCTAATCTGAAAATGTGAGTATTTGTAGAAGATACTCTGACAGATAGTACTTAAACTGGCAGAAACACCAAATTGATAGAAAGTGGGGAAATCTGAGAAGAATAGTGTGCTGTCCAATTGTTCACTCATTTCTCTGACTTCACTGCCATTCTGGCAATACCCTTTTCACTTCAAGCAGCCTGCATTAAGTTTGCATCATATCCTTCCTCCAGGGAAGTTAGAGTCGCAGCTACAAGGATGCCCCCTACACACTTCATTTCATCTTCATAAGAACCCCTGGATGTAGTTTAGGCAGAGAGATGGCTACGAATTCAAAATGGCACAGTGGGGTTTGGTCCTAGACCTGTCTTGTGCTAGGCTGGTGCTTGGAGTTAATATATGGAGAGGGACAGTGTACTGCATTGTTGGCAGTGGGCAGGGATAGAATATAGTGCTAAGAATAAAATATCAGCCTGGTGTGTGTGTGCAATGATCTTTTACAAAGGTAACTGGAAAGGCTTGGAAATAAATTATTTCTCTTCCTGCTTTGGAAATCCTCTGTTTTCATCACTTGAGAGGCATGGGGAAATTGGACATTCACCCGGGAAACACCAGGGAGTGTCTCCAGCATATGATTTGTGCTGATCTGTGACCAGTGAACTCAAGAAGTGGGTGTTGTCCTCCTACTGCTGATACTAAAATTAGTAACCACAGAAACAACCTTGTGGCTTGCTGTTTCATCATCTCCTTTTGTAGTACATCAGGCAGAATGCTGGACTTGAGTATTTTGACATACACAAACACCAGCTCAGTCTGGGATGTGTGGGTCTGAGAAAGAGAAAAAGAGAAAGGGGGCTACATTTTCCCCACCTGGCTCTCTGTGGGTCAAATTGGGTCAGTACAAGTGGTTATGCCCACTGTCATCAACCCACAACTGCCCAGTTGGTCTTTTTTCATGGTGGGAAAGGCATGGAAGCTCAGTACAGAGAATGGGACTTACTCCCAGTGACAGGCAAGCTCCTGGCACTGAGCATCATGAACTGGCTGAAGCCAGTGAGCTGCTGGTGGTGCTCCATCTGGTGTGCCCCGAGCTCCTGACTTGTAATGTGCATTATCCTTCTGGGTGTGACCCAAAGCCATTCAGGTAGTCACTCCTCCCAGTGTTGGATGAGAGCCCCAACCTCCACATCCCTGCTGTATTCTCTTATTCGAGTCTGAAGATGATGTGGAGGAGGATTTCTCCAGTGGATGGACCTTTGAAGCCTCTGGATGAACCAGGAAGGCTGTCTGGGCCAGCTGTGGACTTTCTTGGGGCCAGAAGTTCCACATCCCTGCATGAGATGCACCAATGACCTGCCTCACTGAGATGTGCTCCTTTGACTCTGACCAACCTCATCTTACAACCACTCATGCTGGATGCGCTGCAATAGCCCTTGTTATCTCTCTCCTTTTTTTTACAGGTATCAGTGAGGCCCAGCTGTCACCAGGTAAATTGTACCTTTTGCAATGGGTTTTACCTGTGGGGTTCTGTCTCAAATGCTTACCTGCCTATCTTGCTCTTTCCACAGCTTGTGGCCAGTGGATCCCCTCTTCCCGAATTGTGGGTGGAGCTGAGGCTGCAGTGGGTGCTTGGCCCTGGCAGGCCAGTGTGCAGATCTTAGACTCCCCTCAATGTGGGGGGACCCTCATCGCCTCACGCTGGGTCCTAACAGCCGCACATTGCTTTAGCAGGTGAGGAAGTACAGCCACTTGGCTTCTCCAGCCTCTTCTTAGAGAAGCCCTTCCAGGTCTCTTGGTTCTTATTCTTTTTTCACTAGCTAAGAGAAATCGTAAAATGTTTGGATTCTCCTTGTTGGGAATCCTGACTTCTGGGCAGATAGCCTTGTCCATTCTTTCACTGATAACAGAGCAGGAATGTTTGAGATGCTCCGTTTGTTCTCAGGTCACACAACCCCAAATGCAAGCACAAACAGGAACTTTACACTAGTATTTAAAAGTCCAGAACTGTGCAAGTGTGTACTTTTGCACAAGTATGATTGGGGAAAATGTACACTTTAAAATACATATTTCCCCACCCCAAAAAGGTTAAAGCATGGAAATGTAGATGAGGGGGATATGCACATTTGTGGGTGTGCAGAAGTGCACACTTGCATGTGTATGTAAGGGTACATTTGCAGAAGTGTGTACTTTCAAACACAAATTCAACTTTCCTGCTTGTGTTCAATTTGGGATTGTAAACAAAATGAGTTTGCATGTCTTGAAAACCAGGATCTTTCTTTCATGATGAGAGGGGATTGCATATTTCCACATTGCATATTTCCCCATCTGTAGAACTGTGTGACATCCATACCAACCCTTAGCATTCTAAAGAATAAAGACGGCAGACACTCAGCCTGCCTTACTATACATTATATGCCATTCCTTTTCCAGAATATTCTACCACTTTCTTTCCAGCCTTCCTTCAAAGGTCTAAGACCCATTCTGTTCCCACATCTCTCTGAACTATAGGCCAACCTTAACCTGGCTTTCCTCAGTAAGATTTTGTGGCTTCCTGCCCACTGAACTTATGCGGAGAACTCCCACATAGCCAAGGTCTAACCCCAGAGCTGTGAATTTATTGTCATGTGCTTCTCTCATGCTTTATCAGCCAATATTTCTGTCTGCAGTCTTTCGAATCCCTCCCTGTTTGTCATCTTACTGGGAGCCCACAATTTGTCAAACCCTGGACCTGAAGCAGTGTCTGTTCCTGTGAAGCAAATCATCATCCACTCCCACTACTCAGGATACAGAAACGGCAATGATATTGCGCTGATGGAACTGAAGGCCCCAGTCAACTTCACCCACCACATCGTTCCTGCCTGCATCCCAGGACCTTCCATTCCCTTCCCTCCCCGCTTGGGGTGCTGGGTCACAGGCTGGGGAAACGTCCAGCAAGGAGGTGAGGGTGCCAGGGAGGATTCCAAATCTGAGAGAGTCCTGGGTAATGTGCCCTCTAATGAGCCCAAGCAGATTTGCCTGGAGGCAGTGGCAGAGAGCCAGCAGGCTGGGGGGGGGGGGTCACCATTTCAATTTCCCATAATGCCCTGGGTGTATTATTTGGGGAAACTTGTTTAAAAGGGCAGGTAGACTCAATCATCTGGTGCTGCTTGGAGCACCAGTCTGGAGGTGGGATGTAAAGGAGGCCCTAAGATAGGCCAAATAATGTGTAAGTTGGACAGCTGACAGGAAGACAATTAGAAACATGGTGTTGGATGAGAGCTTTATGAATGCCCTGGACCAACAGAAAGACAAACAAGTTGATCCTAGAGCAAATCAAGACAGAGCTTTTCTTAGAAGTGAAAGTGACAAAACTGAGGCAGAACTCTGTGGAGAAATCATGCTAGGGAAAGTTGAACACAGAAGAAAAGGAAGGCCAAATAAGAAATGGATGGACTCCCTAAAGAAAGCCACAGCCTTGAATTTGGAAGAGCTGAGCTGGACTGTAATGGATAGGACATTTTGGAGGGCTTTCAATTATTGGATTGCCAGAAGTTGGAGATGACTTGATGGCACATAAAAACAGACTATAAACCTCAGTGATGTGCTTTGCCAAGTCCTGAGACTCCAGGAGCTGCCCAAGAATAGCAGCTATCAATAGTCAGAGAGTAAACCAAAAGTTATAAGTTTGTGATGGGCCACTTGAAGCATTCTGAGTGTTTCAGTAGTTGCAAAAAGTACAGGAACTTCTTGCTTCTTTGTACTTGGCCACCCTATTAATGGCTTTTTAAACACTTTTTGTGTGTGAGAGAAAGCAGGCTTTGAGAATGAAGTCCAAGTAATAGGATGGCCAGATACAAAAGGGGACTGGGCTCCTACACCTTTAATGGCTATGTTGGAGAAGAAATATCAGTCACTGTAGCTTGTTATGCAGACTGCAGCTGCTGCAGTTGTACCTTTTTGGTACAACCATGACAAGTTCATCAGCCCAGTCACTGGCTACATTTCAGAGTGAATCCAGGAGAAACCCATATAATATATTCTTTCTCACAGTTCCACTCCCTGAACCAGAGTCCTTACAGGAAGTGCTGCTCCCACTTCTGGATAGTAATACCTGTGAAACACTTTACAGTAACTTGGATGAGGAAACTCCCAAGGGGACCAGGGTAATCAAAGAAGACATGATGTGTGCAGGATACTTGGAAGGGAAGAAAGATGCTTGCCAGGTATACACTCATTTACTCTGTGATGCTTTTTTCCCATTTCCCCCACTTCAAGGCATTCTTGGTTCTCTACCTCACTTTATATTCAAAATTGTGTGAGATGAGTTAGGGTGAAAGATGGGAACTCACCCAAGGAGGGAGAACATTATTGACCCGGAAAGGGTACAGAAAAGGGCAGCAGAAATGATCAGGGGGCTGGAGCAGCACTGCTGTGAGGACTGCGACCACTGGGAATGTTCTGCTTAGAAAAAGGGTGAGTAAGGAGAGACATGATAGAGGTACTTAAAATAATGCATGGTATGGAGAAAATAGAGGAGGCATTTTCTCCTTTTCCCGTAACACTCAAAGCTGGGGTCATCCTATGAAACTGATTGGGAAGATGTTTGGGACAGATAAAGGAGTACTTTTTCATACAACATGTAGCTAAATTATGGAATTTACTGTAATGGGAAGTGTTGATGACCACCAATCTGGATGGCTTTAAAAGAGAATTGGAGAGTTTGATGAGGGAGGAGGCTATCAGTGGCCACCAGTCTTGCTGGCCATGCATGACCTTTTTTAACAGAGGTGGCATGCCTGCATACACCAATTGCTGGGATGCTTAGGCAGGAGGAGGTCTTGCATTGAACCTGTTTGAGTGATCCCCTGGGCAGCTGGTTTGCCAACATGTGAATGGAGTGCAGAACTAAAAGGACCTTTGGTCTGATCCAACACAGCTTTTCTTACGTTCTTAGCATCTTGCAACAGAGATGAGCAAGCTGTTTGGGTCCACACATCTCATTGTTCCCTCACCATTGTCTGTGTTGGCTTAGGTTGATGAGAATTGTGGACAAAAGCTGTATGGCACCAGAAGGTGCTCAGTCCTGCTTTAAAAAGATAAAAGAGAAAGAAATTGGGAGAGTCTGTATGTAGTAATATGGATCGGTAGATTTCTCAACCATTGTTTGTTTGTTCATTTAAAGCATTTGTATGCAGCCCAATTGTCCCACAGCTCCTCTGGGCGGCTCTCAACACAACTCAGATTACTGAGATTACTGTATTACTCAGATTACTTAATTCAGTTTCAAGTTCTATTAAAGCATTCATAAAGCCAGCCTTGAAAAAACAGCATTTTGAAATGTTCATAATTCAACAAGGTGAATAAGAAATACTGGGCAGTGGAGTTGCGGGGAAATCAGATGGTCATAAATTCCAGTTCCAGTGTATGCATTTTACATTGATACAGGGGAGGAGTGATTACAGTGTCAGGCTGCTGTTATGTGGAGTTGCTGCTCTATATTGGTGGACTTAAGAACAAGGCAGAAGGAATGAGGAAGTAAAAAATCAAGACCAGTCTTCTGGTCATCCTCATATGCTTTATGCTGCATGGTAACTTCCAGCCAGGCTGCTGTCACCTCTGCATCCTCCTCACTCAAACCCATGGACACCCCCAGCACCTCTTGAAGTTACCTGCTGTCTTCATAGCTGGTGTGTCACTTGCTCCACTGTCTGACATGAAGAAAGCTGAAAAGGAGTATATGGGCAGGGGGTCTCCCCAGTAACTCCAGGCTTTGAGGTCTGACCCTTCCCTGCACAGTACCACAGTCACAGTTCAGGAGTGCATGCAGTAGGGAGGAAGGGGAGAGTGCCGCTTGGGATGTGGCAGGCCTGTTTGGCAAGTATGAGCAACTTGTTCAACTAATCCTTTCCAGGATTCAGACATGGGCAGGGCTGGCATCGCAGGTTAGGCACTGCTTGTTCACATACATCTCTGCTCTAGATAGTTGTAAGAAGGAGGGGTCAAAGAAGCCATTGTCTGCTTGATAATTGGCCCTCCACTTGTCAAGATGGCCAGTGGTAGCCATGGTGAGATAGAGGATGAGGAGCAGGGGTGGCTGGTGACATTGTGGTTAGATGGGGACTCCATATAAAGTATCCATAAGACTCATCATGCCCACAGACCCTCTAAATTCTGGGCTCAGCGCTGTCAACAATGATTCTCAGTTTAAACAATCTGAGTTCAAGATGTCGGTCCCTCCAAGGGCCAGTTGACCATAGCGGACAGCTGCATTTCTCATGTAGTAGCTGGATTTCAGCACTGGATGCAAGCGGCACTGGGGGAAGCCAAAGTGCTTACATTCTTTTTAAAAAAAAAATCTTATTAAACCCACTTTCCCCAGCATATTAGCTTCAAGGAGAAACAAATATACCTTAATGCTATGCCTTATTGATTACCATTTGTGTGCACCAATTGGCTCAGGAGAATTGCATAGCATAGAATAGAAGGAGAGTTTGAAGGAGCCTGCAAGGCCATCAAGTTGAATCCCCTGCTCTGCATCACATGTGGTCACCCAACTGGCTGCAGGCTGTGCCTTTCCGGCCTAGTGAAGGTGACTCAACCTACTAGTTCCATGTAGTGCTACACAGGCAGGGAATGTACCAGTTAAAGCTTCTGGAACTGTTTTGTGTTTCAGAGACTCAGAACCTCATGTCTGTGGGACAAATGCAGCCTTCCAGATGGGCTTTTCTTGTTTCCCTGGCCTACTCCTTAACTCTGACCTCTGCTGTTTGGTGGTTCCCTGACTTTTGTGCCTTCCCCACCTTCTAAAAGGTTGTAAAGCCTTTGCACGATTTACGTATGGGTAGGAAGAGCTTTTGAGCCAAAATATTCTGGTATTTAGGGGGAGGCATCCCTTTTGCTTTGAGTTCCAACTGAATGTGGGCCCTTGGAACTTCTCTAAAACTGAATGTGGCACTTGGGCTGAAAGAAACCCTGATGTATAACAATCAAAGTACTGAAGGAGGAACAGTGCTCATGGCAGTCTTACATTAAGAGGAGAACCATTCCCATTAGGGAATAGAAATTGTAGCTCCAACACAGCTGTCGGCTTTCTGGGCAAGATGGGATCTTTCTTGGCAATGACCTAGCTGGGGTGGAGGCCCTGGGAGCCTAACCCAGGAGATTGACCTTTCTTCATGTACTTTTGCAGGGGGACTCTGGAGGACCTTTGCTTTGCCCATGGAATGGTGCTTGGCTAGTGGCTGGTGTGGTGAGCTGGGGGGATGTCTGTGGGGCTCCGAAGCGCCCAGGCATCTACACTCAGGTCAGTGCCTACAGTCAATGGATCTTGAGACATGACCCAGAAGTGGCTGCCAATATAATCCACAATGTCCCCACCAAGAGCTGTTCCTGGTGCCTAGGTGTTCACAGAGCCCTGCTGCTTTCATTAGCCATCACGAATGGGCTCTGTGCCATGCATTGGTAAGAACTTTTGCAACATGTACGGGCATGTCTGAATGGCCCCCACTAGGACTGCTGGATCTGACTTCCTACAAAGCTGCATGGGAATTTGTTCCTGGTTGTAACTCTCAAGTTAAATCAATCCTTTTTGTTGAAATTGCCCACGTGGATGTTCTGGAGGCAATGTAAGATCAGCATTTTGGCTTGGCTCTATTTTCAATGTATAAAAGTGACCTGCACACAAGGAGGCATGTCTTGTTTGAGTTGCTCTTTCCTGAGTGTGTGATGCTCTCAGCAATATGTCACAATTGAATTCTGCAATCTGCACACCTCCTTTTGCACTCCACATGTGGAAGCCCTGAATGTCTTTGTGAGCATGAGCCCATGTGCCAAAAATGTGCACAAACTGTTGAGCATATGCTTCTGCTCAATTAGCACAACTTACCCATTCAATTTTACACAGATTTCCTCATTTGTGCTAATCTTCTCTGTAGACTGAATCAGCCCCACTTTGGTCTTTGCAGAAAAGTTGGACAAATTTGGAAAATGATGCAAACTAAATTGTGAATTTCCCATTCAGTTATTGCTCCATTTGCAATGTATGCCTTTGTGCAGACCTACTGAGCTCTGGCTTCTGAGATTTCCTCTGGCATTTTATGTACGAATCTATTTTCACAGCCATCACTGATAAAAACACAGGTGTAATTAAAAATAAAATATAAGATGCTACATTCTGGGAAACATGACAAAGATGCTGTTTTCTACAGTTAGGATCAAATAGCATGTTCTTATTCTGCTTCTGTTAAACATGAAATATGTAGACTTCTGGAAAATTGTGTCTTATGCAAAATGGTGCTGTGTAGCAGGAGTAGACAGAAGTTCTAGAGAAGGAATGGAGAAGTTGTGGTCTTCCGGATGTTGTGCTATGCAACTTTCATCATCCCTTACTATTGCTGACTATGGCTGATGGGAGTTGCAGTCCCTCAGCATTTGAACAGCTGCATGTTCCTTGCTCCTGTACTACAATTTGTTGTCACCTTTAAACCCTAACATTAAATATTTCATGGTCTTGCACCAAGTCTTCTTTTTTATTTCCAAAACTTTGCCAGAAATAATAGCAATACTTGTAAAGGTGGAGAAATGCATTTTCTACTGTGTTCTTTTAAAGAATAGAAGTAGTAATAGGGGTATTTTGTTGTAGTTGCTCTTTTAAACTTGTAGATTCTACCTCTCTTAAGTGGGTCAGTCTTAGGGTTTGATTTCTCTGTAGCTTCAGGACAATTACCTGCTTTACGTTTCTCTGCTGGAGCTGATAGATTCCTAAACCTTCAACTGGGTACCCAGACCACACTGGGCACCTGGATCACATGCTGCACTGACCCAGGTGCTAGGTATGTGGAATGAACTCTGAATTGATTGATCTTACCTTTGCCTCCTGCCCATCACTGTTCTGAAATTCCACAAAAAGCTGTATTCTGACCTGCCCTGGTTTCTTTCTGTGTTATTACTGGAAATATGGTGGTCTTGACCTGGTCCCTTGCTGGCCGAAGAACAGGGCACTTCTCCCACACTGCAAAGAACTAAGAAGGCCAATTTGAGACTGTGGTACTTCATAGAGAGAAAGAAAAGAAGGCTGAAGCACCACCAGGATATGTCATCTTGTGGCAGAGCCTGTCTCCTTCTCTCCTTGCACTGGGAGTACCCCAAAACATCCACTGCAGTTCTTTCTGTGCTAGCTTCCCTGGGAAGGGCAGAGGGCCCTTGAAGTATAGATGCCTTCTGTTCCCTCACTTTAGAAAATGAGTAAACCCACAGTCTTCTTTCTGGTTTTTGAGGGGCCACTGGAAAGGTGGTGTTGAGGTGTCCTCAGATTACTCTGTTCATGTGTTTCTGACATTTCTGACATTTCTGCTCCTTCTACTAAAGCTCTCTGTCTGATTCTCAACAGATAAAATAATAAAATACAGCATAAAATGCAATCAAGACTATGAAGTGAAAATAAGTGTAAAGATATTAAAATAAATTAACAAACATACAAACAAACTAAACTGTGTGGGACAATAAGAACTACTTCATCTGGAACTGAAAAACCACAACTTGACCATGTAAGATTGCCCTGGGATGGCAGCTAGGTTGCCACCACTAACATTACTTTCACAAATTTGGCAGTAGCAAAATTCATCAATGTAATCATCCAAGCATCAAAAATTTATTAATTATTTCATTTATTTATTCAATTTATATGCTGCCCCACTAGCAATAGGCTCACTGGATGGCTTATATCATATTAAATCCAAAACAACATAAAAACAATACAATGAACAACCTAAGAATTCACAACAACAAATGACCAGTAATAAAATCCATAGGTAAATTATCAAATTAAATAAAAGAAATATAGACAAAATTGAATTAATAAATAGAATGCATATCTATAGAAACACACATGCACATATACACAAAAATAGAACATAAACAATTACAATTTAGCATTTCAATATCTAGCATTTGAAAATCATATACTGGCATCAGCATAAAATAAAACTCATTAAAATAAAGAATTCACCTATTAAAATAAGTACAGAACAGAGATGGTTTTAGTTGGCACCAAAAGGCCAAAAGAGTGGGTGCCAACTTGACCTCACATGAAATTGAATTCCAAATTTGAAGTGCTATTCTAGAGAAAACCCTCCTCCTTGCAAATTCCCCCCTCACATTTTTAGGGGGAGGAATATGGAGGATGGTTTCAGATGAAGACTGCAGTGAATGGGCCAATGCATATGGAGAATTGTGCTCCTACAGATAACCTGAGACACTGTTTCAGGCTTTGTATGTAACTGTGAGCATCTTGAATTGGGCCCAGATGGCAACCGGTAGCCAATGTAGCCTGCAAAGGACCAGAGTAATATGATAGTGAATGCCAGTCCTAGTCAGAAGGCAAGCTGCTCAATTTTGGAGAAGTGGCAAGGTCTGGACCATTTTCAAAGGCAGCCCCATGTACAGTGCATCACAGTCATCCAGCTGGTGGTTATCAGCCCATGAATAAATGTGGCAAGGTTCCACTTGTCCAACTAGGCTTTCTAATGAGCTGATAAAAAGCGCACCTGGAAACCAAGTCCACCTGCGCCACAAGTGACAACTCAGGATCCAGGAGTACTCCAAGGCTGTGAACTGTATCTTTTAGGGGGAGCACAACCCCATCTAGAATAGCTGGAAAATTCCCCAGATGAATAGACAGACTCCCCATGAACGGCATCTCCATCTTATCTGGACTGAACTTCAGTTTCTTGGCCCACATGAAGCCCATTATCAAGTTCAGACACCAGCTCAGAAGACTCACTGCCTTGCTTGGAGATGTAGAATATGAGAGGTGGAGCTGAGTGTCATTGGTGTACTGACGCCCAAACCTCCTGATGACCTCCCCTACTGGTTTCAGGTAGATGTTAAAATGCATGGGGGATAAAATAAAGCCCTGGGGAATTCCATAGCACAAAGGCCATGGCACAGAAGAGTAGTCCCCCAACACCACCATCTGTAGAAGTCAGTCAGATAGAAGTAGAGCCACTGCAAAACAGTGCTCGCAAACCCCAACCTGACCAGCCTTTCCAGAAGGATGCCATGGATGATGGTGTAGAAAGCCATCAACAGAGAGGTTCAGGAAAATAAACAGGGTTCGGCTTTCTCTCTCTCTCTCCCAGCAAAGGTCATCTCACAGGGTGACCAGGCAGTTTCTATAGTCTGATGAAATGGTTCTAGATAATCAGTTTTCTCCAGGAGAATGTGGTGCTGCCTGGCCACAACCCATTGATTCTCTTGCTCAAGAAGGGAAAGTTGGCAGTTAGAAGTTGTTCATATGGGCTGGGTCCAGGGTAGGTTTCTTTAGAAGTGCTGCACTAAGTGCTGTTTTTAAGGTGGAAGGCACCAGTATTTGTTGTTGATAGTCAATATTTTTTCCTCATTAACCCCTCCCTGGTGTTTAACTCTGGTCTTATAAGAATGAGATAACATTTTGGGAAAAATATGCAACTGAGCAAGCCAGAGCTAGAAGCTAAGATGGAGAAGATCTCCACAGCTACCAGGTATTTCCCCTTGGAGCTCAGGTAGGTGGGAACAAAGGATAGCCAGACACTGCAAAAGACCAACATGCTGAAAGTGATGAACTTGGCTTCATTGAAACTGTCAGGTAGCCTCCTGGCAAAGAAAGCCACACTGAAACTGACCATGGCCAGAAAGCCCATGTAGCCCAGAACACAGTAAAACATAGCTGGAGACCCTTCGTTGCATCTCAGAACAATTTCTTCAGGCACTGAGTGCATGTCAGCATCTGGGAATGGGGGAGAGACCACCAACCACACAATGCAAATACACGCTTGAGCAAAGGAACAGGAAAGAACAATGGCATTGGCCAGGCCCTTGCCCACCCATCTCCTGATCTTGGAGCCTGGCTTGGTGGCCATGAAAGCCAGCACCACAGTGATGGTTTTTGCAAGCACGCAGGAAACGGCCACTGAGAAGGCTAGGCTGAAGCTCATCTGTTGGAGGAGGCAAATGATCTCCCCCGGAGGAGAGATGAAGAGCAGTGTGCAGAGGAAGCAGAGCAGGAGGGAGATGAGGAGTGTGTAGGTGAGGTCCCTGTTGTTGGCTTTGACGATGGGCGTGTGGTGGTTTTTCAAAAATGCGGCCAGAACCAGAAGTGTGAAGAAAGACAAGGAAAATGACAAGATAGCTAAGCTGCTCCCCAAAGGTTCTTGAAAGGATAAGAAGGTGGAGATCTTGGGAACACAGGAATCCTGGTGTTGGTTTGGATATTGATCTTCTGGACATTCAAGACAGTTGTCCATATCTGAAAGTAGAATATTTGTGGTTTTAGCAAACCCTGTGTTTGGGTGCAAGCAAATTAAGTAATAGATGTTACCTGGACACAAAGTGTGTGGGAATATACTTCATTTGCAGCACCAACGAAGCCTCAACCTAGAGTGAGTTCCATTCTGCTAGCAAAGTGAGGGAGCTAATATATCTCAGCACCCACCAAGGGTGGTCCACAGAGCCTGATGCTCCTGGACATTTTCCAGTGGACTGCATTTCCAGGGAAAAACTATCTATTTTTGTTACAAGAACATGCAGTTTGAAAAGTACATGTGTAGGGTGCTTTTTAGCCCCAAGTATGTAGAAATTTGCAATGTTTAGGAAATTCTTCTCAAAAGCCATTTGATAAAAAAAGCTTCCCTATCATGGTTGACCTTGGATTCATCATGCAATTTTCTTAGGAACAGAGGATTATCTTTGCATTTCAGTTTTACCATTTTGGCTTGACATTTTTCCTTTGGGACACTGGACACAGTCGTAACAGCAACTCTGCTTCCCTTCTTGCTTTTGACGGAAATCCCCTGGGTGGCAGCTTTCCATACACACAGAAAGAGGCAGTGCCTGGCCCAAGGATGGGGAAAAGGGAGAAGTAAAGTGTCACCATTCAAAACTCCTGTTTGGAAAATGATATGTTCAACAGTCCAGCCACATTACAGCTGGAACTATAGGATGACATGTGTACAAGCAGTCACAGATCTGACAAACCTCTGTCTCTGTGGGCAATATTTCCAATTCTTATCCTGCTTTCCAAATTGCAAGTATGCCTCCATGTACACACGTATCAGGAATGCAAAATCCAGTATGTTAATGGGCTTAATCTTTCAATGGAAATTCAATCTGGACATAGCAATTCAATTAAAAATGGGAAGATCTGAGCTGCACTCAAAGCTACCTGGTTGAAGCTGCTGTGCCATGTGATGGCCTCATCCTGAATGGTGAACCTCACATTTGAAAGACCTTGGGGATCCAGCTTTCCAACTTTCACTCGATGAAAGGATTGGTTTGGGAATGTGACCCAGTTCACAAGATCAAATCCTGTCAACAGTATTCCATTGTGGTCAAAAGAAATCTCATCTCCCACAGTGTTGTTAAATGAGATGCTTTTCAGAAACGGGTGTAGCTGGATGTGAAATGAAAACACAAGGTTTTGCAAGCAGATTGCATGCATACTGTTTGAAACTACCTTGCCATCCTGAAAGGGACAATTTAACTCATTGCTTATACCTATATGGGTCTGTGTCCACATCCATGTCTGAAATTCACAAGGTTTAACTATGCATCATGTGCAGAAGTCCTTCCTTTGATCTGTCCTGACTCCCCCACTCATCCGCTTTATGGGATAACTCCAGATTCCTCCAGATAAGAGAGGCAGAACAATGTCTTCCTATCCATTTCCTCCTCCTCATTTGCATTATTCTATACACTTGCATCATGTTTTTATATGCAAGTTTCCCAGTGTGCATTTTTGATAGCAACTAACATTTTTGATAGCAACTAGCATATTGAAATTTGAATAGAATTTTCACAAATATATAATATATATACGTGAGATGAGGCACAGAAATAACCGGATTGTGCTTATTGTTTTCCTGGAAAATCATCTGGAGGTCGGCTAGATGTACATCATAGAACTAGATCTCCTCCTACATGCCCTCACAAACCGCTGACTGGCTAGGTATATCCTATGAATAGCCCGGTCTGTATTTAAACTACACTCACTACACGTGCTGCTGCGATAATGTTAGGGGGGAAATTCACCAAGACAGCACTCCCACACACAATGCTTTTTCCATAAAGCAGTTTTTGAATGGAAAGAACATTCCTGTCCTCCATCATCCTCCTTATTCACCCAATTTAGCTCCCTGTGATTTTTACTTGTTCCCAAAAATCAAAGGGAGCACGTTTTGCATAAATGGATGAAATGAAGAAAAAAAAGGCAAGCTTGTTGAAGAGCCTCATGCAAGAAGACTTCCAGCACTGTTTCAATCAATGGAAAATACACATGGAACAGTGTAGAGATCGGGAGGGGGAATATATAGAAGGTGATGATGTTCAGAATGATGTAATTCATCAATAAATATTTTTATTACTAATTCGGTTATTTTTGTGTCACACCTCGTATTCATCAGAGAACTCCACTGCAAAACTTTTGAGGTATGTAGCAATGCACTCCTAGATCTTTTGAACCTAGATGGTAATGCGGTGGATGACATGCTTACTGCAAGTAAACCAGGGTTATTTCATATTCCTACCATGATGTTTCTTGAGATTCCTTAAGAGATGCCATGGTAAACTTATCCAGAGAAGGCATCTTGAACTATCAAGTGAAAACATACTAATGTAACATTGCTATCCCTCATTGCTCACTCCGGTGCAGTTGGATAAGAATTTCCAAAAATCCAGAAGATGATTGGAGATTTTTTAATGTATGTGTGCTTATTCCAATGGGGGGGGGGGATAGCATGTTTGTCCATCCTTGGCCCAGAGAGTTGAGAGCTCTCTTGGAAAAGCCCAGGATGGAAAAGCCATGTATTCAGCAATGTTAACGCTGAGTTAGCTTTGCCACATTTTTTATTGACAAGCTTCCCATCTTGAATAGCTACAGTGCTGTAACATCACTGTCTGGTCAGGTGATTACCTGCCATGGCTCCTGATCCTGAAGATTCCGTCTTCCATGATTCCCATTTGCTCTGCGTCCAAACTGAAGGGCATGGAAAGCACGTGCCACTGCATGGACTGCATTGTAGACATTGTAGCTGTAGCCGGTCATGCTCATTTCAAAAAAAGCCCCAGGGAGGCTCTCCAGCTTCTCCTCCCCGGTGCACACACCCTCGGCTCTCTGGTTAACAAATGTTTTAGGAAATACACAGTCAAAGGCCTGCTCCCAGAAGTCTTTGATGAAACCATCATCTCTTGGTAAAAAGTGATTTCTGCTTTGAAGAAATGCTTTGAAACCTGGCACTTCATCTGAGTGAACTGCAAAGGACAGAGCACCGTGGATGACTTGTATATCCCAGGCCCTTTGATAAAGGTATGATGTGAGCTCCATCTTAGCTGTCATGATCCACACCTTACCTTTGGGCTCAGTTGACACGATTTCCATTTGGGGCAGGTAGAGCAACAACCTCAAATGCAGAACATTATTTTCATAGACTATCACAGCATTGGCCTTGCTCTTCATGGAAACATGATATGTTCTTATTAGCCAACTCAAGTCATCAAAAATGCTACTGAGATAGAACATCTTTATTCTTTCTAAGAAGGCCACACAGATGTCATGGAGTGGGAACATGGGAAACATCTTCCTCACAAACCTTCCTCCATCATCCTCTTTAGCAAGGATACCAACCCAAGTCCACCTGAAGTGCAGAAGTAGCTGAATAATCCCCCTATATTGATAGGGTTCATTTAGGACCATCTGGTAGAAAAGATGGGATTCACCTTCCTCATGCATCTCGGGAGGAGAGCCATATGTTATCTATTTAAATGGAAATGACAAAGGAAGTTGCAGATGAGAAAGATTTGAAAGCTGAACATAAAGTGTGCTGATTTTTTACTTTTAAGGCTTGCTTGCATATATACATAAATTTAAGATATATATGTACAAGGACCATTCCATCAAATACATCAAAGAGTTCAAGTTGAAAGGATTTTTTTTCCAATTCAGTTAAATATTTAGTATTGTACATTTCATTATGTTGTATCAAGATTGACAGATTTGCATGTTCAGATGTTGTTGTTGAGTCACAAAGTCATGCCTGACCCTTCACAACCCCATGGACAACATTCTTCCAGGCTCTCCTGTCCACCATCCCTTGGAGTCCACCCAAGCCCATGCCCATCACCCCAGTGACTCCATCTAGCCACCTCAGCCTCTGCCCATCTCCTTCTCCTTTTGCTGTCAATGATCAGAAGTTAGAATTAGGAAATTCTGCCATTTTAGAAACCTTCCATCTTTTAAACTAGGAACATGCATCTCTGAATTTGTGGCTCTTCCAAATGCAGTCTTTCCAAACCCTACATATCATAGGAATTGATCCTGTTGGGCATGCTCAGATGTTTCATTTTCAGTTTAAGGGAATGTGGGATTTGCAATTCCTTATGCATCCTGATTTAATCTAATGGAAGCCAACATGGTGTGGTGGTTAGAATATTGGACTGGGACCTTGGGAAATCAGGGATCTAGTCCCCATTCAGCCATGAAACTGGTTGGCTTGTGCTAGTTTCTCTCAGCCCAGACTGTCTCACATGTTTGTTGTTGTGTGGATAAAACAAAGCTATGGAAGTCACCTTGAGTTGCTCATGGAATGAAAAATGCAGGCTATATTTGTTTAAAACATTTCTATGCCACCCCCATCGCAACAAAACCTCGGGGCGGCTCACAGCATAATTAAAACATATAAATAACAATTATACATGCAATATACATGCAATGTGTTGTTGATGATGATGATGATGTAAAAAGTTCTAAGTTATGATAACATTATAACTTTTGGTTTCATTGCAGAAAATTACTCTTCCACCAATTGCATGACTGAATATGTTTCTAAACTGAATCTGCAACATCCTCTTTGATTTCAAAAGTAAAAATGAGAAAGCTGATAGATCCATGTTTCCACTGTAACTCCAACATTACTAATTTGGCCTTTCTTCCCAGAAACCAATTCCAGGAGTTAAGTTAAGCCATAGCCTAAAATAAGATATAGAAGGCAATGGCTGTTTATACAAATACAAGCCTCCATACTATCTAAGAGTAGTCCTATTCTGATACCTTTTTGTTGTTGTTAGTCACGAAGTCATGTCTGACCCATAGCGACCCCATGGACAACATTCCTCCAGGCCTTCCTGTCCTCCACCATCCCCCGGAGTTCACTCAAGCTCACACCAACTGCTTCAGTGACTCCATCTAGTCACCTCGTTCTCTGCCGTCCCCTCCTTCTTTTGCCATCTATTGTCCCCAGCATTAGACTCTTTTCCAGGGAGTCATTCCTTCTCATTAGGTGGCCAAAGTATTTGAGTTTCATCTTCAGGATCTGGCCTTCTAAAGAGCAGTCAGGGTTGATCTCCCCTAGGACTGAACGGTTTGATCGCCTTGCTGTCTATGGGACTCGCAGGAGTCTCCGCCAGCACCACAATTCAAAGGCCTCAATTCTTTGGCGCTCAACCTTCCTTATGGTCCAGCTTTCACAGCCATACATTGCAACTGGGAAGACTATAACCTTGGCTATACGTACTTTTTTGGCAGGGTGATGCCTCTGCTTTTTAGTATGCTATCTAGATTTGCCATAGCTTTCCTCCCCAGGAGCAAGCGTCTTTTAATTTCTTGGCTGTAGTCCCCATCTGCGGTGATCTTGGAGCCCAAGAAAATAAAATCTGTCACTACCTCCATTTCTTCCCCATCTATTTGGCAGGAAGTGAGAGAACCGGATGCCATGAACTTAGTTTTCTTAATATTGAGTTTCAAGCCAACTTTTGCACTCTCCTCCTTCACCCGCATCAAGAGGCTCTTTAGTTCCTCTTCACTTTCC